ACTTGTTCTGACATGCAAGCGTTTACTTTGCACCATGGTGACCTGGATAAGAGAGGTGCAAAAGGACAAATGAGCAGCTGAGGTCAAGAGAAAGCAAGTGGCTGCCTTTTTTAGCATCAGCACTCACATACACTGGCATAAGCTCCGTGGACCAGCAGCATAATGAACCCTTGTGGCACTTGTGGCTTAAGGGATGATCCAAGCCCTGGCATAATTCGTAGCATAGACACACAGCAATTGCCTTACTAAACCAAGGTTCGAATGTATTTGGATTCATCAGAGCTGAGTACAGGTTGTTAGAGAGAGCACTGCACTACGTGGGCAAAACCATCCTGTCCCTTAAAGGTATGCATACTGATTTCTAACGGTGTCTCATGTACTTTGTAAGCCAAAAGATTTATTATCCCTTTCAAACTCCGTCCAAAACCTATTCAACCGTAAGTCTGGCTGAGAAGAGTCCCAGTACTACATTCAGGGCTAGGTGAAGCACAGGGAAACACAATCCATACTTCAAAAAAGCATGAAATGCCATGTTGTGTCACAACATCACGTCACACAAGATATCCTTCTCACAGCTTTCTCTGCTCTGGATACCCTCATTAACCAGGGGCAGTCTCAGGGAGCTATTAAAGGTGATCTCAATCTGTTGTCACATGGCCATTGTTTTCAGATGTAGGGATTGAGCGTCTGTGAGGGTCACTTGTGGTTTGCTGAAAAACTTAGGCTTTATAAATGCTACCTGCCATTAAAACTTGCTTGAAAAAATTAAACAGACTTTAAACAAGTAAAAATTAATGGGAGGCAGGTGTCAGCTCTTCCTCTGAGCAGCTTCTCCCACACCTTTGCCATATACACAAGCTGTGGTGCTGTGTAGGAACTGGTGCAACTCTTCTGGTTGCATCAGAACCATTTGTCTTCGAAGTCCTGGTGCTGCAGAGGTGGGGTCCAGCTCTGCAAAGTGTAAGGACGTGCCTCCTCCTTGCTGGGCAGACTCCTGTCTACTGAGCTGAATGACAGCTTTTGAAGTGACTCTTCAGATGAGCTGACTGTCTGTGACAGATACATGTTAGTATGCCTTGGACAGTCACTGCTTTGCACACCTTGATGGTTCAGAAATGTAACTATACTATTTGTAATAGCCTAAGGCACTAGGTTACTTTGTGGATTGATAACCTTCAAGATGGTATGAACTAATTGAAAGTGATATTTAGACTTTCAGGAGTTAAATGTAACATTTAGTAAAAATACTTGGGGGGGGGGGAGAAAGAAAGACTTTTGAGTTAAATTTTTTCTTAGAAATAACAAATTGTAATTGCTGAGTTATGATGTAGCAAGGAGTTTGGAAAGGAGAAGCTGGTATAAAATCAGCCAATTAGGCCGTGGCCAAGCATCTTTGCTTGCTTCCAGCTGGGCCAGAGGAAGCGGCGGGTGCTATCAGTCTGAAATAATGAGTGCCAATGGCATGTTCCTCCCACTCTGCCAGAAGCAAATGTCCCTTGGGATTTGCTGAAGGAGGCTCTTGCATTTCAGTCTAAGTGAGCTGGATTAGCAAGACTGACAGTAGAAATGGTTTAATTTGGTTCATCTTGACTGAAACAGGTCAGAAAACCCTCAGAAGAGCAGCTCCCAAGGCAAACCTGGGGAGAGGGGGCTGATCTGCCATGGGGGTCCACAGGGGTGCACAGCCGGGACAAAGGTGGGACTGGATGGGACTGCTTCTTCCATGGATGGGCGCAGCTGCCCATCCAGACCCAGAGTAACCATTACCATTTTCAATGACAGATTTTCAAGAACACTACAGACAAAACTCTTCTGTGTATCACCTCAAGCACTGACTACTACACTTCTCATTTGGACAAGCTGGGACAGCAGGTTTTTTGTGTATGTATTTACATACACACACACACACACACACACACATATACATCTGGATGCACTGGCAACAAAATCTTAATAACCAAACCCCACTGTATGTAATTTATAGGCTTATAAAGTAATTAATGAGCATCAACATGCATCATTCTGTATGTGGACCAAACCTTGTATGGTTAATAGGGTGAAAGCTGTGGTTTAGAAAGAGCTAAATCAGCAGGAGATTCAAGCCATTAAACTTTGGGAAGAGCGACATCCTTTAAACTTGGTCTACAATAATAGATGGAAAAAATGCTCAAAGTACTCAAAATGCTTAAAGAATTAAGACTAAATATATCCAGAGGGACTGTTTCCAATGGCTGTGAAAAGAAAGCAGACTGGAGCAATGAAAGATGACCAGGAAATCTCAGAGGAGACAAAAACTGTACATAGTATTTACAACATTCTTTCTGCCCATGCAATACAATTACACTGACCATTAAAAATACATTTTCCTGAAACAGCACAAATCAGCTGGGATCCTAGAAAATCCAGGCCTCCCTCCAGGATGCCCTTAGCATCCTCATGCCCATCTTGCTTTCTTCCAGGATAGAAGTCACTTCCAGGGAAAAAAGGCCTGGCCAGAGCATTTCTGCAGAAGCCAGAATATCCCCTGCCTGTGGACTCATCTCACAGTGTGCTGCTAGCAGAAATATATGAGACAACTTCTAACAAGAGGACAAGTGTAAAAGAAGCAAAAAGCTGATAGTGAGCACAGCTTAGCCAGAGGTGAGAATGAGGGCTGCTGTGTATACAACCATAGACATACACGTGCGTGTCTTTGCACACATCAGTCCAAGCCAATTCAGCCACTGTGTGGAGTTTCGCAACATTATTTATTCTAGAAAAGAGAAGAGCTTCAAGGAGAGCTGCTTGGCAGCAGTCCTCTGTGCACAGCACATAAACCTGAACATTAAATATCAGTTTAAATTATTAAGAATAAATTTAAATTTAAAAATAGACTAATGCAAACAAACAAAGTTCAGCCAACACAGGAACAGAGAGAGTTTTAGGAAGGATATTGCTATAGCAAATGCAACCCCTTGTTCCCTTGGACACTCTGAGGCAATGATCTGGTAATTCCAGTTCACCACTGAGATGTACATACTACCCAGCAAAGAAAAATTACCATCTCTAGCATATGAAGCTCCATGTTCACATTTTTTCCCCCATCACAACAGAACAAAAAGCCAACGTAGCACATTAGCTTTTCCCACAAAGCATATGAGGTGACAACATTTACTCAGAAAACAAAAATTAACAAAAGCAGTACAAAGAAGAATCCTGGTCAGCTTGTGACCACCATAAGCCAAGATGGGTAAGAAAAAGAATAAAAAAATAGTTAACATCTGGCACCCCAAACCTTTCTCACTTTCTTTGAAATCAGGGAATGAGAAAAGTCCATTTTTCTGAGACCATTTCAACAAAGTTTTCTTTCCCTGAACCTGGAAAATCCAGGTATTAGGGTACAGATCTTTTGTTTTATATGTATATAAATACACATGTACATATTTATATAAATATAAAAGCAGAGCATCCTCCCATTTCTCCTCATAAATTATTATTATTAAAGCTTGTAACAGAGTTAGCTGGACTCTTCAGAAGTGGGTATTCTCCGCACACACATGACACAGGGAATTTAGCTCTGCTAGAGCAGAACAGCGAGGCAGGGACATGAAATGTTGGGTAACCGTGGTGGATTTTGGTGAGCAGCCAGGGAAGGGCAGGGAGCAATGACTGGAAATGGCCTTGCTTGCTCCAGGGTGGCACTCTGGCCCACCAGAGCCAGTTTCCGTGAGCAGACTCAGTGATGGCATGGGAGGACGGCTATGCCGACCCACCCGGCCCCTCAGCAGCCCAGCCACCCACCCACCCTCTTCTGTACCAGCTGTTGAAGACAGACTGTCCCTCACTTTTAAAGGGAGTCTCAGTTTGCCCCCTTAAGCACATGCACACTAGTTCCATTTGGCAGTACTCTCCACCACGCTGCCATGGGTCTTTTTACCTATTGCCTCTGCTTGGTTGCCCAGCCCCAACACCTGATCCTCCCAGACCTCCTGCTTGCTGGCCAAGAACAGACACCTTTTCATCCACTGGCTTCTTCTCACACTGTTTTACGTGAATGCTTTCCCACAGTCTTGTAAGACCAAATAATTTCCTCAGAGGACCAAGATTCTCAGAGGTTTTCTGCTCTCAGAGACCTCCCGGTAAGTCAGGGCTGGTGGCACATGCTCCTTGAGCGGTCCTGACTTTGTTCCAGAGAGGACAGGGGCAAAGTGCAAAAGAACTCTTGAAATCAGAAGGTATTTCTACCACCAACAGCTCTCTCTCCTTCATGTTGTATAGCACTTATTTCAAGTAAGGTATTCATGTGTCTCCACAGTCATCACTCTTCCTGACGTGAGTAGAGATCAGTAGATGTCTACTGGTGACCAGCTGAGCCACTTCATCATGACACATGCTGGAACAGCTGAAAACATTCAAACCCCACTGCGTTCCTCATAGCAAAAAGTGCTTTTCTCAAGAAACAAAATGAAAACAGTGTTCCAATGGAACATCTTAAGGACTCAAAAACAGTATTTCCTAGGGTGGGAAGGATGGAGCACGCCTACTTTTTTTGGCTTTATCTCAGTAAGGAAACAGAGCTATGGGCAAAATTGGCACATCTTTGTGAAGTTCTTAAACTCGGGACCTTGGCTGGAATGTAAAAGAAACAATGGAGCAAAGGAGAACTTTGCCTTACAGTGGGCTTCTGCTAGTTCTGGAGACTTCATATGTAGGTTGTCCAAAAAAGTTCTGCTAGCCAAGTAAAGATGAATCTCTCAAATAATAAACTGTGAGTTTTCAGAGAGGCCTGTTGGGGGTACTGCTACAACCTGGTAGAGGTAAGTCTCTTCATGCCCCGCCGCTGAGCCAGATTAGAGGACAATACAGGCTCCAGCCTTGGTGCCTGAGGTGCTCGGTTTAAAGCAAAGTAAGTGGCTGCCATTGCACCCTGTAAAATAGAGAAAGAGAAAATGCTGGGCTGAAAGTAGTTCTTTGATGCTTTTTCCCACCCTCTCCCTATTCAGTCTCCAGAAAAAAAATGGATGTCCATGGATGTTTTCCATGAACTGATAACAACATTTAGGCTGGCAGACAGCTGGAGTGTCTCTGATTCAACGTAGTGGGTAGCAGTATGTGCACCGAGTCCCACCAGGTCATTACAGTCCAGCTTGCAGTTAAAAATATCGAGCAGATGACAGGTCAAAAATCTTCACTGTTAATATCATGCCATATTAAATTTGACCTTTGTGACAAATAATCTTCCCAATTCCTCTACCAGTTCCCAGAACATTCACACAAATGACAACTCCTTCTGCGAGGAAGGAAGAGGCAGAGGGGTAGGATATACCTTCACAAGGTGAACATCCTGTCTGCTGAGTTGGTTTTGAGACAGATACTCCCTGTTCACTATCCATGGATGTCTTAGGACTTGGACTGCTGTGAGGCGCTGGTGAGGGTCTACGTGAAGCATCTTTGACACAATGTCCTGGGTTTAAGAGGAAGAAAACAGTAAAAGGCAAAACATAATTAACAGCAGTGCAGGTTTTACTAAGATCTTCCTGGTGGCAGTGTCATCATCGGCATGTCCAGTGGAGAGAGGGATGCACTTTAAATATGCTTTATATTTTTTAAGTGTAAAGTCTCGTCTTCAAAATTTACAAGTGTAACTTTCAACTCTCAGCTGAAAATCCAGTCAAAAGATAATGTGGAGGATATTCAACTTATCAAGGGACTGTTAATTATTGGTGATCTTATAGAGGTGATAAACTCCACCTAGAGAAGATGCCATCTGGAGGCTTCTCCTCACTGACTCCAAAGCATGCTTACAAGAGAAGCTTAGAATAGAAATGTAACAATTGATCAGCTAAAATTCAATGAGATAATTTCTACCACGTCTGAACATTTTAATTTCAAAACTGGACATCTGATAAAAAATTAACTGTGAGGCTCATAAGTGTTGGTAGCAAGAATAGGTTACTAGGATTATTTGCAGTTTTGTGATGGGATACATCAATGTTCTTCCACTGGATACTACTGGTTGCTAAAACTGAAATCTCTTGTGAGAATATCTAAATCCTGTCAAAGTTTCTGATTAATGCCAGGCAACTGGAAGCTTGCTAGCTTTCTTGCCCATCTAACTGTCTCACAGACCAGTGCACAGCTTCATACCCAAAGGTCTCAGCACTGCATTAATTTTATCTCTTGGGGTTTCCACATTTTGTGATAGATGAGCAGCCTAAACTGTGAACTGTACAGAAGTTACAAATGCTAGTTTATAAACCACCTGCTTCTGGTTAACTTTGAGGAGCAAAAAGGTGATTCACATATAGACCATGAATCTGTGGAACTGACTTCCCTAAACTTCTTTTGAAAATCCAGTTGCACCACAACAGTTGTGTGCTGTTTTAATGTTAAGAGGATTCACAATTGGTTGTGCTGTATTATGCCTTAGTTTAATGAAATAAATTACTAAAATTCCTAACACACTATTAACACACTAACATGCAGAGTGGTAGAAACATAAAGAAGTAACCCTTTATTTCATGAGGCACTGAGAAATAACACCTTTGACCATCTCCCTCTTAAGTTTGTTACAATTGCAGGCTGCAAGCCTGTTTCAGAGAACAAGAGAAAAATCTGAGAAAGTGGTCACTGACCTTTGCGGTATCGGATACTGAATCCCAGTTTCCTCCTGTAAGTGCGTATTTGCCACTGCCAATCCTGGCCAGAATCTCCTCTGGGGTGTCATCTGGTCCATTTGCAAAAGGAGTGAACCTATCAAAAAAAAAGACAGAAAAAAATACTGTGCAGCTTGCAAGCATATGATTTCTAGGATCTAGTGCTAACTGCCACCAATTACAACAGGAATTTGGTTCCAGAATGGACAGACTGCTGCTTCATTTTCATTCAAACTATACAGTCTGGTGGTTCCTCATATTAAATTGTTCTGCAGAGGAAAAGATTGGTTCCTTAATTGTTTTTTAAAATTTTTGTTCTGTTCTTATTTTTTAGGAAAGAAATATTATTTCTAAAAATTAGACAGATCTCTTTAATTGTTTTAAACCTGCTTTATTGCCAATAGAAGTACGTTGATAATGGCAAGAAAGGATAAAAAATATAAAGGAGAAAAAATAATATCTGAAACAGGAAAAAAGGAAAATAAAAAGAAACCCTTATCATCCGTTTTGCACTGCTTTGTTAATCATAATTTGCAAGCCTGTTGGGCATAATAATTAATCAGCAGTAGGTTACTGCCTGATCTAACCAGTCAGAAATTACTTGTAACATGTCCTCAGCATTACAAAATTAGTGTCACATGCAGACTTTTTGTCTTCCTAAAGTGACAAGTGGTAAGATTTTTGCAGCTAATTAAAATCTATGGGGCCAAACTTTATCCCCCAGTCTTGAACAGCTGTGTAGGTTTAGAAGAAGGGGGTATTTGAGATTTCCATCTGTCTTTTCTCTTCTGAAAGCTTGCCAGAGTGGTTTTTAGATCGTTAAACAGTTGGTTTGGCCAAAGCTTCCTATCCCACCTGGTTCCTAATCACACATTCAATTCCTCATGCTGTATTTTCTAATTTTCAAAAATATGTCAGATTTCACAGATGTTCAGCCCAAAGAGATATATAATATTATTGCAATCTATAACTATCAAGGGGGATGCGCTATGAGTTAAGGACTGGCTAAAACTCCAGAGTCTGTTACTGCCTGCATTTATAAGATCCCAGGCCTGTGCGTTAGCACTGGCTGGCTGAGCTTTCTCTGCTTATAGTGTTGATGAGAAGAGAATAAAATCCTGGCTGCAAATAATAGCCAGGTCCTACTAATTCTCCTCTGGTGAGGAAGGTGGTGACACCTAAAAAGTCAGCTCTTCTCAACTATTTGAATTACTCTTATTTCTCGCATAAATGCAGAAAAAAGTGAGATACAAGCTAATAGCACCTGTCAGCAAAGTTAATATCCACTAACTTGTACAATTTTTATTTCAGATTCAAATATATTTGGATTTCTTTTCACATTTATTAAAGAAGCATTTTGAATAGAATCAGTTAAACAAATGTGACAGTGGGTAATGTATTGATTTTAGTTTACTGATTCTGGTTGTGTATCACTGCAAATCTGTGACATTAGCTGAATAGAAGCAAGTTTCTGGAGATCCCAACAGACTGGGAGTGTGCCCCAGAAAGTCACAATATATTTCAGCTAATTTGGAATGCATTTGTACTCAAGAACAAAATAGATGGGACAGAAACTCCTGGCACCTTTTCTATAATTCACAAGGCAAGAGACATGAATAACAAAAAGGTATGGTCCAACTCTTTGTTTTCTGTATAAATCTGGGAATTAATCCAAGCTTCTTGCCACAGCTGAATGATCATGAATCAGATTAAAGAGCTGTGAGAGGTCACTGAAAAGTTTCAAGCTGCACTTAGCTACGATAAACGTGCACATACCATACCCTGCAGCCACCAAGAGAAAGGAAATTCAGGAGCTTGATAACTCCAGATAGGGTTTGCACACTGTGTTTCCCATTCACCTCAGTGCATGTTATCCTTCACTGCTTATTTCAGTCTGTCTCTTCTCTGGGTCTTCTTGTGTCAATATTTAACTTTAGCCAACACCTTTGTAGGTTTTGTCTTTTTTTGCCAAGTACTCCCTGAAAGTTCCTGCTGCCTGTTGCTGTTCTTGGTGATCTGTTCATTTGCTTTCTGTGCTTTCTACAGAATATTTTTCAAACAGCACCTGAAAACTATGCTTGGGATATTTTTTAGCCTTAAAGGTGCTCAGATACCTTAATAACAACAACAGTTGTTAATAACAACAGCTGCACCCTTTTCCTAGTGTGAAATGTTCACGCTGCTTAAGTGGTGAGTGAGTCTTTTAGGAGTCTAGTCTCAGCACACATACGGGTACAGCCTATTAAAAACCTAAACAACTTGCAAAAGTGTAAAAGATATTTATGTGTTCTGGAAAAACTTATTCTAATTCTTTTGCATTTTTTGCATTTATTTTCTTGCCTCATACAAGTGAGCAGATGTCCCAGAGTGGCCAGTTTTCTGTCTCTGTCTGTGACTCCTTTCTGGCTTAATTAGTGCTGAAGGACTGAGCCCACAGCTTTTTTTTTTTTTTTTTTTTCTGCTTTTGCTCATCACTCACCCTGCCAACATGGTATACAGTAGGATCCCCAAGCTCCAGATGTCACAGGCTGCATCGTAACCTTGGCGTTTAAGGACCTATGCGAAGGAAAGAAAAAAACAAAAACAGGTTAACCTGCATTCCTGAATCTTTTAGCTTCCAGGCTTCAAAAAGTACCAGCTAGTGGTTGTATCTGCTGTCCTGTCCAGGACTTGCCCTCAAAACTGGCTGCCTTAGGTTCAAAATGTTCAGCAGTGGAGTGGAGCAAGGTGAAACCCAGGCTGGAGTTAGTGTGCAAGCCCAGCACCGCCGTCACCTCCACAGTGACAGAGAGGAGTGCACTTTGTTAGACATTCTGGGAGCCTCTCTGACCATTTAACACACAGCAAAGCAGAACAAGTCCCTTTGCATATCCCAGTGTTTCAAAATCTTTCTTTAAAAAAGCTAGTCAATGCTTTGAAATGTATCCTCCTAACATAAAGCATACCAAGAATGCTGGATGTAATAAGCATAGGGCTGAGTGACAGTGATAAGCACATGTGAGCTCAGTCTGGATTTGATACAATAAGTGGATGCACACTAACACAAATCTATTGTCAGACTAGTAAAGAAGCATGACAACAGCAAAGAAAAGTAAAAAGCTTACACTTATTTTACTTCTGTATTAAGAAAAGTGGCGACATTTAGATAGATAACATTTAACAGATAACAGGTACTCAGCAGAGATCTGACCAGTAGGTTCAGTGTTGGTACAGGATGGTGAGTTAGAGCACTAAGGGAAAAATCTGTATTTCCTTTATGCTAATGCATACCAGCATAAAAAACCTATTTGAGTCAGTGCAGCTTCAAGAGAAAGTGAAGTCGCCAACTGAGGCAGCATTTATGAGATTAGGGGAAGAACTTTATTTCTTTTTGGCTCAGAAAAGCTCAAGGACCACCTCCAAATCCTACACTTGCTCATAAATGCAAACTACCCTTCTGTTTATTCAGTTCTGACACACAAGAAGACTTTTGTCTCCTTTTGATGAATCAGTGATGCAAAACACCTGAAAAAGGAATGTACAAATTCAGCAAGTCTTTCCCTGACCCGCAGCCTTATTACCCAGGAGTGATCTCAGCTATCTGAAGTTTATCACAGAAAAGACCAAGCACTGCTAGGGAAAAACAGTTTCAGAAAATGTTGCCTCGACAGATTTTACAAATGATGAGTGGTAAAGCAACCATCTGTCAGGTATGCTGCTGAGCAAACATTTGCTACCTGAAAAAAAGGGGAGAAAAAGCCTCCTTTCCTCCTGTTGACAAAGCTGGTAAAATCCTGCTTCTGCCTCTCTTTCCTGCACATCATATATACTCTCTCTGGCTGTTTTGTTTCTATTTCTTTACTTTCTGCATTCATTCTCCCTATATTATGTTAGTTTTTATGGGAAAAACTTCTTTGCTATTTGACAAACTCAGTTGCTTCTTGCTTCACCTGCGAGACTGAATACCCAACATTTATCTTCTGATGTGGCCATTCTTTTTGCTTCTTGAACAGTTGCATTTTCATTGCTATTGCTGTCTTCCTCCAATAACCAGGGACAATCAAGTCCAACGCAAATTACAGAAAAATGAGGCAGTGATGATATTTAGTGGAGCAGGGTATTAAGCAAATGATTACACAATCCCAAAATGATGGGCAGTTGTCACTGTGTGCTATCATTCAGTTTGCAAGCATGCTACTAGGTAACAGGGGCACTCACTCTGTGCTAGTGTTTAGGGAAAGCTTTTCTGGAAATTACTTTTTAATGACAGCAGCTTCACTCCACAGCTCACAACAGGATCTAGAGACAGTTATGAGTTTGTGTCACTGCTACTTGAAAATGTCTCCAACAGCTCTGTGCAACTGTGGTTAAAGCGAGAATACAGAACCGGCAGGAGCAACTGTTGGAAAGTTTGACCAAAAATACTAGTGTTTGATCCAGGAGGCAGATATTATCAAACAGAAATATGCATTTGTCTCAGAAACAAATCAATCAGGGAAAGA